AAACACACACACACACATACAAACAAACACACACATGCAAACAGATAAATATAAGTGTAAACATATAAATACACATATACATGCACACAAATACACACAGATACATGCAAACACACAAATACAAACAACTGCACAAGCACATATACAAGCACACATATACATGCGCACACACACAAATATACCTGTACACAGATAAATAACACAAACACACAAAGATAAATATAAATCAACACACACACTGATAAATATGCATCAACACACACACACATACACACACACACAGATAAATATACATATCTCCTACAGATGTGGAAATACACAGGTACGAACATATAAACCAGAATTAATATACAGAAGTATACATACACAAACACATGGATTCACAAAGTTATAGAGTTATTCATACATTTTTTAAGCTAGGTTATATACATATATAAATATTAAAGGCACCATGTGTGTATAGTTATCTGCTGTTTGTTCTAATTTTTACAAGTATAATAGAATATAAATTGTACAGTGATTGTAAGTGTAATTGTACTTGTTACTGAACAAAGCAGGGCATGTTAAAAGCAAATATACTAACTCAAAAGATCAGATATGTGCTATTTAATGTGGTTTAATTAATTTATATTTCCCAGACACTGTGTTCAGGAGCCAGGGGATAGTGTATATTAAATGCTGGGAAATTAGATAAAATATTACACAGCACTCCTGTGATTTGTAATATAGTGTGTTGATATTTAGTGAAATGTTTCTGTGGGCACATGTGTGTGTGTCACTGTAAGGGTATGTTTTGCAGCATGTGTTGTGTTTTTTTGTTTTTATTTTAGCTGAATGTGTCTTTTTTTTTGGGGGGTTGGGGGGGGGAGAATCTGGATACAAATATTTCCCTGTGTGTCTTCATGACATTAAATCCCAAAATATTATAAGCACTATTCATTTAATATACACAGTGTCTGCCTGACTGTACAGTTCTCAATAGGAAAGTGTAGAAACACATGCGATCTTTTTATTTGAATCCTCTGTAGATCAGATCCAATATTGTATAGATGTCCTAGAATTGTATCATTTGATTTTCTTATAAAACACATACAAAATATTTATGTGTGCATTATCTACCTGTATGAAGAAATATAAATGTATATATACTTATAGTTGTATGTCCTGTGTGATATTACTTTATATCTGCATTCATTTTGAATGTACAGTAAGTCCCAAATTATTTATTTATTGTTTGATTGAGTGTTCTCCCGATTAATGAATGTTTGAAGGGCCCTGTCAGGTATGTGTGGCTATGAAAGGGTTAATGCAGGGCAGAAACAAATGTTGGCTTTTTGAGAAGCCCTCCACACCCCTCAGGGAGCCAGCAATGTCTAACTTCAGTCTCCTGTACCCACAGGGGCTACATATGTCCTCTCTCCTCCTGCCAAGTCCTTTCTCATCTACAACTTATCCTCCCCGCCGCCCCCCCCGCCCCCCGCCCCTCATCCCCTCATCCCCAGCCTCAGCATCTCTCCTTCACTCCCCTCCTCATGGCCCCTTTGTTTAGGAATTTTTTTAAAAATCCCCCCTTTAAGCCACTGTAGTGAGATTGCTTGCCCTGTGACCACAGGCATAAAACCTTTCTCTTCAGGTGTCTGTCGTTATTTATAATCTGTTGGTGCTGGTATAATGTTTTTGTCAAATTCAACATTTGCTGATGTGCTTTGTGGCTTGGTGGCACTGCTCATATAAAATCCCACTCTATCAGTGGTGGATTGGTGGCACTGCTAACAGAAACTCCCACTCTATCAGTGGTGGATTGGTGGCACTGCTCACAGAAAATCCCATTCTATCAGTGGTGGATTGGTGGCACTGCTCATAGAAAACCCCATTCTATCAGTGGGTGATTGGTGGCACTGCTCATAGTAAATCCCATTCTATCAGTGGTGGATTGGTGGCATTGCCAATAGTGAATCCTTTTCTATCAGTGGTGAATTGGTGGAACTGCCAATAGTGAATCCCACTCTATCAGTGGTGGACTGGTGGGACTGCCCATAGTAAATTCGTTATATCAGTAGTGGATTGGTGGCATTGCCCTCACTAAGTACAATTCTATCAGTGGTGGATTGGTGGGACTGCCCATAGTAAATCCGTTATATCAGCGGTGGATTGGTGGCATTGCCCTCACTAAGTATAATTCTATCAGCGGTGGATTGGTGGCACTGCCCATTGTAAATCCCATCCTATCAGTGGTGGATTGGTGGCATTTCCCTCACTAAATACCATTCTAAAAATGGTGGCTTGGTGGGACTGCCCATAGTAAATCCTATTCAGTCAGTGCTGGATTGGTGGCATTGCTCTCACTAAATCCCATCAAATCAGTTGTGGACTGGTGGCACTGCCTGCAGTAAATCCCATCCAATCAGTGGTGGATTTGTGGATTTTGCCCTCACTAAATCCAATGCTGTTATTTCTACAGGATTTCTGTCATTATCCTTATAAATCCCACGATGTTACATCTGGATTAGTGGCATTGCCCCTAGTAAATTACATGTTTCTACTCCTGGTGGATCTGTGGCATTATCAGTAATAATTCCTATTCTGGGTGGATTAGTGGCACTACATTTATTTACTGCCATGCTGTTGTTTCTGGCTGATAGGTGGCATTTATGTTACTATAGCCTGTACTTTGGTGGATTTGTGGCAGTTTCATCAGTAAATCCTATGCTGTGGTATCTGGTAGCATGTGTGCTATTAAAATCCCATGCTGTTATTTCTGGTGGATTTGTGTCCCTTTTTAAATCTGGCACTGTTGGTGGCATTCTGCCAGTGAATCCTATTCTGTATGCTTTAAAGGTTAGTGGCATAATTCTTCCCAAATCTCATTCTGTTATGTCTGTGGATTTGTGGCACTTCCATTAGTAAATCCCTGTTGTTATGCCTGGTAAATGAATGACATATTTCTTACTAATCCACAAGCTGTTACTAATGGTGGATTTGTGCAATTTCTCTTATTAAATCAGTTGTCCACCTGCTGTTTGTTCTGTTTGTTGTGTTTTTTTTTTTTTGTGTTTGTGACTGATTGGTGGTATTGCTCCTTACAAAATCCCATGCTGGTTTTTGTTGTGAATTACTGGCTATTTTCATCAGATAACCTTATAATAAAATCCTATGAAATTCTTTATAGATGATATTTAGAAATCAGGACATGTTTTTCTTTCTACTCCATGAGATCCACTATAACAACTGCAGGCTGTCCCTATGGTAAAATACATGTCCTGCATTCTGAAAATACCACATTATGTATAACATACATTTTTTAAGGCAGTAGAATTTTTAATAATATGACAATAGCTAGATAGGTAGATACATAGATACATATTCATTTGCATAGACAATGGATCCTACTAAAATTCCAGTTTTGTAATATAAAATAATGTATAAAAAAAAATTTCATTTGTAACTTTTTTTCAGGTTAATCAATATTTATTATCCTGATATAAATATTGGAGCTGTGTCTAGTTTATTACACCTTATTGTAAAAATGGACTTTTCGGATATGTAGGTTGAATGGGAGAACGTGTACTAATTACTAATAGTTAATAAATAGTATAAATGGTTTTCTAATTTCAACCCCAGTTTTAGGTATTTGAGAAGGGATATAAGGAGAGACATTGAGATGTATAGCCCATTTGAACGCACCCACCATATATCTGAATTAAAGAAACTGCAATATTTTATTCCGAATATTATTAATAAAAATTGTAATAATTCTAATACTTTAATTCCACCCCTGTTTTATAGGCTATAGCTGGATATTGTGCGTTTTTGGTGTATTTGCATATATTTATTACGTAAATTATTTAATTATACATGACAATAACCCAGTACTATTATTATATTATAATAATAATAATTATTATTATATAATAATATTATAATTATGTATTATTATTTATTAATTCATAGTTAGCAAACCCTTTGTCAGCTGAGAACTTTGTCACTTTCTCCTGTTTCAGCACTTGGACAGAGCACAATAAAGAGACAGACAGTTTCAACAGGAGATAAAATAGACATAGATAGTTATAAATGTCATTCTCAATATCCAAAAAGCCCAAAAGTCCTTCCTCCCTTGAAAGGGTTTAGCTGCCCATTTCCTCTGTGCCCAGAATGGATGCACTGACCCCTCTCCAAATCTTATCCAACGCACAGTACCCTGGGTAACCCTTAAATAACCTCCTCTTCTGAGTTAATTCTTCCCATATCCTCTGTGTTGTCAAATTCATTTCACTAACTGTATCAGTCATATATCAAAAGTTTTGAGAGATATATACAATGTATCCAGGGTTATATGTGCCACCCATGTATTATCTGTCTGCTTTAACTTCATCAGGTCGTCTGGGGAGAGAGACATTTTATACATCCCATGGTATTTCAGTGACAAATGTTTAATATTAATTAATTGCCTTCTATAAAGCTTTTTTGATTACACGTTAAAAACGATGCACTTGAGAAATTGCCAGTTGGATGTGCAGAGTACTTGGCAGGATATATTATGAGTTAATTAAAATGTAGTCTTTATAATTGTAGTCACAAAGCGCCCACATATACCGCGGAGCAGTACAAATTCTTCCATCAGACAGGAGTTCTGAATTAAGGAATTAAAAGCAGGTAGGTGCCCTTCTGCCAATTAAATCTAGTTTATAATTGGAATAAGGTAACCTAATCCCTGCACGTGCAGTATTTTGCGTGGAGAAATTGTATTCATAATATCTCGATTTAAATTAAGCAAAACAAACAGGTTCTCGAATAAATTGATAAATGTACAATATAAGGATTTTTTTTGGATCAATATTTATTAATCAGAATTCAAAATGGACACATACACAACACTTCTGGTGCCCGCACACACTATAATCCTTTTTTTTTTTTTTTTTTCTACAAGCTTAAGGAATTTATTCTTTTTTTTTATTAACATTTATTAGCGACAAATAAAAATAAATAAATTAAATGCATAAATAAAAACGTGACACCGTATTTAACCCATTTCATTTCAGAATAGTATCTGTCGAGTTAAGAAAATAAATACATAAATATTAACAAATAGAGATTAAAAAAAAAACAAAAAAAAAAAATACAAAAAACAAACAAAAAACACTTTTGTTTTTTTTCCCCAAGAGACTTGACACAGGAAAATATTTTGGGGGAAAAAAAAATCATTGGAATACATCAGCATTTAATTCACATGAAGCAATTTAAAATGAATATTCACAGGAAATAGCATTAATAATTATAATAAAAATTAAAAATAATACACTGAAGAAGAGAAATAAATATTATAAGCCAGGATATATATATATATTTTTTTAATGTAAATAATATAAATAAAAACACTGTATCTAAAACCAATACAGGGCAGGTGTGAATATATATTGCATATTAATATTTTTTTTTTTCTTCAACTTCGTTAATTTTTTCCCCCCTTCTGTTCTACATGCATAAAATTAACAAAAAAAACAAAACAAAACAAAAAAAATTCGTTCTGGCAATATGAATTTTTTTTTTAAAATTAAATCCCAAACAGATAAAACCATCTATATGACACACGGTTTTTATAAAAGAACATATAGTGGTCTACGACAATATTTTTTTGTTTGTTTTGTTTTGTGTTGTTTGTTAGCTGAATTTTTAACGCAGGAGACTGAATTGTTTGTCACGTGTCTTTTTAACCCTCTAATTACCAGAGAAAGCAGCAACACCTTATTTGTCGCTATACATTGCAAAAATGACTCAGGCATTCAAAGGGTTAACCGAAATTGCACATCGTCACGTGTTCACTTGGCCCCCATGCCAATACATTTTAAATAAATTGAATTTCATATTGCATAGATTTATTTATTTTTTCTTTCGTTTCTGTTTTTATTTCTTTTGCACTTTATTGCCCTAAAAAATAAAGGTTCTCTCTGCAAGATGAATTTGGGTTTAATTTCCTTTGTACCAGTGATTTGGCACAGAGCTTCAGGAAAACGTAAACAGAAGACAGACGTGCTTGTGTGTGTGTGTGTGTGTGTGTTGTGTTTTTTCTGTTCCTGTCTATGCAGAAACACACAATATTATTCATTAAAGTGAGAATTCTAAGTGAATGCAAGGCGAATTTCACATTTAAGGTCAAAATAGCCAGCTATGCTTTAATATGGCTTTACAAATGAAATTAACTTTCAATTAATTTTAATTCTCAATTTAGTAAATAATCCTGACTTTCTGTATACAATAATTTAACCTTAACACAAGTCATCTGCAGCTCCAATAATTTAAACTTTACACAGTAGCTCCTATTGCCAAATGGGTGAGGCTTATCTCTAAATTTATTGCACCTTGGGGGTGGACCCCTGTAATCACGTGATTGATCTGGTGTCATAGCTCCTGGAGAAAAGCACCTGGTCTTAAACGGGGGAGGACTAGTGGAGGGAGTTCAGAGGATACACATCTACAACTATACATGAACAAGTGCTTAAAAGAAAATTGGGTTCTGTGTGCAAATTTTGTGGGGTCTAACTAGGTCCAACCTTAGTGGACGGATGGAGATCTCATTGTGAAAACACTGCGAACATGACTGCGTAATACCGAGGGGCTTAGAATGTTTCAACTAGTGCTTATGGTTGTCTGGAATAGTTCTTCCAACTCTTGGATGTAAAACACCTGGGCCACCTATTAGAAATTCTAAAATGTAGAAGAGTAAGGTCATCCCCTAACATAGGTCTCAGTTGTAGGATAACCAAGGTCTGCAAACGAAGACCTCACGTGTGTAGGACCACCAAGGTTATCCAACAAAGATCCCAGCTGTAGAAACACCCAGATCGTTCAACAAATATCTCAGCTGTAGAGCCATCAAGGTCAGTGTACTAAGCTCTAGGTTCTAGGACACCAAGGTCACCCCAGAAAGCTCTTGGGTGTAGGACAACACAGTCATCCAACACAACTCATAACGGTAGGACATCGTCACCCATCACAACGCATGGTTGGAGAATCACAAGGTCACCCAATACAACCCACCAGTTGAGCACATGGGTTATCCATAATAACTAGAAGTTAGCTATTTTCCTCCAGTTGACCATTACAGATTCTTGGCACAAAATGCACAGTCACGCGTGGAAAGAGGGGGTGGGGTGGGTCAGTTATGGAAAAATGCATTTAGTTCCTCATACATGGGGGCCCTGTCGTGATGGACGTGCATATCGTAAGGCAATAAGTTCTCAGAGTGGACCCCACCACGCATCCCAGAAGAGCCAAACAGAAGGCTGTGTCCAGAGGGCCTGGAGGAGGGCAGGGAGGAGTAGTGCATAGAATAGTGGTAATTTTTATCGTGGTCCGGGGAAGAGTCCTGTTTAAGGGAGAAGTTGCCATTAATGCACAGTGGTGGGCTTAAAGGAGCGTCATACTCAGAGCTGTTGTATTCCGGAGACGCATTGCCATACAGGGATTCATAGGTGGCACAGTAGCCATGGCTTCTCAATGGGTGGGAGTTGGCCATGGTGCTAGACTGGCACTGGGAGCCTGAGAGCCTGGAGCATGGGTATGTGTATGGGTGCATGGCAAAGGAAGAGTTTGGGCCATGGTACCTCCCAGCCTCTTGGCCTTGCTCTGTTAGGAAATTCCTGGAGTTGAGCTGCAAACATCCAGCCACCAGGTTAGTGGTGGGTTGGGACAGTCCCTTGCACAAGGTCTGCACATAGGACACTAGGTCAGGCCTTTTACCCGACCTTAGAATCTCAGATAAAGCCCAAATATAGTTCTTGGCAAGCCTAAGAGTTTCTATCTTTGAGAGCTTTTGGGTCTTGGAGTAACAAGGGACCACCTTTCGCAGGTTGTCCAGGGCTGAGTTCAGGTCATGCATGCGGTTCCTCTCTCTGGCATTGGCCTTCTGTCTCCTGACCTTGGACCTCTCCATCCTAGCCTTGGTCATCTTTCTCTTTTTAGGACCTCTTTTCTTGGGCCTCTCTCCTTCTGTCTCCTCTGTCCCTTCTTCTTCCTCTTCTTCTTCATCTTCATCTCCACCTAAGTCCTGGTCCTCTTTGCTCTCACTGAGGGATCCCTCAGTTTGGGCATCTTGTAGGCTCTTCTCATCCCTATCGTCTTTGTCACTCATGTCATCTCCACAGTCATCTGACCAGGTGGCGAATTTCTGGACCTCGGGGATGAGCCCGGTCTCACTAAAAAGCCTGGTCAACATGTTTGCTGGGGAAAGAAGTAGAACAGGTTAGTATTTACCAAGAAACTCGCTTTGTGTATAAACATATAGCGCTAGAAAGGCAGTGTCAAGGAAGCTTAGATTTACGAGACTATAAGTCTCAAAGGTTTTTTGTTTGTATATTTTTTAAGAATCGGCAATTTTGGTTTTTTTTCGACTCGTGTTTATTTTACAGCGAATTCTACCGAATCGATAACCGGGTTCCAGAATGTACACTAAACATGCGAATTATGAATGAGAATAAAAAAAAAAATTCACAAACGCAGAATCAGTCAAAACTTGGTTTACAAATCGTTTTTTCGCTGCACTTCGGAATATCAAGGTTAATTCACTAAACTTCGAACTGTAGCGAAGTAAAATCTGAACGGCAAAATTGAGGCTAAACTAACCTTACTACAACTACAAAACAGAGTTGAATTTATTTTTATTTAAAAATCATTAATTATATTTTTTGCCTTCATTTTGACATTTGATTTCATTTCGCTAGAATTCGAAAGTTAGAATAAACGAACCTCGATTATTCGAAAATGATTTGGTGCCAGGCCTGAGCCATGCGATAATAGGATAGTAAATATCGACCCTAACATAGCAGAGTGATAAAAAATATCGTGCAAACCATGACTTAGAACACAACAAAAAGGACATTAGTGTGGGCAATGAGATGTAAAATAGAATTATTATATACGTGAAGTAACATTCAGTGTGATATCTCCTGCAGAGCATTATACTAAGCAGAGCAATATACCAAGCAGAGTAAAATAGTATTCAGAACAATATAGAAACTAAAGTAGGTGAAAATTAGAAGCAGATCTCTATGACAGCAGAACATAAGTGGACAGCCAGTAATAAATCAAGCAGGGTAATTAACAAGCAGAGCAAAGTGACATGCAGAGCATTTCAGCAAAGTGGTACAATAATAGGCAGAGCATTATAGGAAGCAGGGCAAAATATTAGGCAGAGAATTTTAGCAAGAAGGGCAAATAATGTGCAGAGCATTATATAAAGCAGAGCATTATGGCAAAATAGCATGCAGAGCATTATAAAAAGTGTGGCAACATAGTTTGTATAGAGTTAGAGCAAGCAGAGCAAAAATGATATGCAGCGCATTATAACAAAGCATTGCAAAATAGTATATACAACAGAACATTATAATTAGGAGGGGTTAGTAATAAGGCAGTGTAATATAACAAGCACAGCAAAACAATATGCAGAGCAATATGGTAAGCAGAGCAAAATGTTATGCAGAACAATTTGACGAATTAGAGAAATGAATATGCAGGGGGGTATAGCAAGTACAGCAAACTGATATGCAGAGCAATTTGACAAGCAGAGCAAATTAGTACAAGCAATACAATCAATTAATTACAAGCTGAACACCTTACTATGCAGAGCATTTAAGGTGCAGAACATAACCAGCAGAGCAATAAGCCCAGCAGACTCATCCAGCAAGTAGAATTATAAAATTAGCACAGCATTTTTTTTTTGCAGAGGATTTAAAGGAAAAGCTATGAGTATGATAATTTGATTCTCTTAACAAAGAGCCTACATTCATTTAAATTAAGAAAATTGATACACTTTGATTCACCCACAAAAACCAAGTGTTCTTAGTATGGGGGTGCATGGCCATATACACAGCCCTGATATAACCTGGACCTATCTCTCTATCACTGGGTAAGTAGCCATGGTATTAGATCCAACCTCAGCTTCCCCACACTCAATATTGGCTTTACCTGTGTGTTGCTTTAATTGTGGGGATCTTTTCTGGAATAAGGGGTTTGACATGATCCTAGCATTTTATTCTGTAGCATAGTCAATTCCTACACAGCCTGGTTAGAATTAATTGGCATTCAATTTAGCCATCACTGCTCCAAATTAAAGGCTGTCAGATAATGTTGATAGATCCAATTATTATTTCATTATACGATCCCAATTTCCCTGCCCTCTCTGTTTATATGATGGGATGGGGACATTCTTATTATATTAGATAGGTGGATATGAAGTAGATTTTTTTATAGATAGATAGAATGAATCAGACCAAGAAAAATTAGAAAAAAAATATATTTAAAAAAATATTATTTAAAACATGTATTTCACAGTTTTTTTAATTCTTATTAAATCTCTTTGTAAGTACATGTATCAGGAGACATAACATCTGTAAGTGTTCTATTTAAAATAAATATTAATTGTACGTATATGATCAGAAAATGACATTAGTCTTTACTTGTAAGAAATTAATTCACCAAATACACGGCCTGACTTGTTTCATATACACACACATTTAACACACGGCAACATGTCTGACAGTGAATATTAAATTTAATATGTGATAATTATTTTTAAGTGTCTATGTGTATGTGTGTAAAAAAATAATAATACATTTAAAAAAATAAAAAAATATATATTATATATATATATATATATATATATATACACACCAAAATATAAAACAATTAACTTTGTAACATTGTGAATGTGTGACATTTGAATAGAATGATATATTGTGTGTTTCAATTTAAATTGTAACATTGTGTATAAGTGTGTAACGTGCACAGCATTTCGTGTATCAGGCAGTTAACAATATAACACTGTGCCTAAGTGTAATGTGTCCAGAATTATGTATTGTGAGTGTGTTAACATTGTAACAATGTGTGTACGTGTAGTGTGCATAGAATTCTATACAACATTTATCAGACAGTTAAAATATAATATTGTATATAATATATTTTGTACTGTTTGTACCTGTGCATTGTGTAGCATAGTGAACTGTGACTTTGTATAGATATGTGTATTTTGCTATTTGACAGTGTGCACTGTGACTATGTATATATTTGTATATTTTATTATCTGACTGTGTGCATTGTAAAATGTGACTATGTATATATTTGTGTATTTTTCTATCTGACATTGTGTTTAACGCACTCCTGTGTGTGTCTAAGCTCACATTACACAAATTACTGTTAACAATGATATGTAATGTCTATGTAAGTGACAGAGGAGATGGACAGATCAGTACATGCAGACAGACAGTGCAACAGACAAGACAGACACAGGATGAACGCATATGCCAGACATAACAAGGGTGACATCAGTCGGTGTATTAACCGTGCCATATTCCTCTCATGCCCTGTCAGTGTGGGTAGCACCCATTAAACCGATCTAGCATGCTCCAAACCCCCCTGACCCTCAGTCAGACCCCCCTAAGACCAGGTGTAAAGTAAACCCCTTCACTGGTCGATGGGTCACAATGTATCAATCCAGAATTATAGAGAGAGACACAGAGTCGGTCCTTTTCCTCTGTCCTGCTGTCCTAGTGAGGCTTAATAAAAGAGAAGAATAAAAAAATAGAAGGTGTATGAGACCCAGAGCTGGGGATTGTCTCAGCCCCTCTCTCCAAGTTGGAGATATATCTTCTGGACCCTACTTACCTCCAGAGCTATGGGCTGAAGAAATTTATGACATGCTTCATAGCATCTTCTGGGAGTAGAGCTTTCTCCTTGAGGTTCTCAAGCTTCTTCAGAGTGCAATCCAAAAGGAGGAGAGGGTGGCAAGCCTACCCAGTCATGGTACCAGCTATGATGCCAGGCCATATGGTTGGCACGTCATCCACGGGAGCGATCACACGGGAGCTTCTGATTGACGTGCGGTTGGATTGAGGGAGATTTGGGTCCCTGGGGGGGGAGGACTTACCATCTGTCACTCTCCTAAAAAAAAAAAAAGAGAGAGAGAGAAAGAGAGAGAGAGAATGAGGGAAAAGAAAGAGAGAAGAGAGGGATAGATTATCCAGACCTGTTCACACTGCAAAAAAAGGGCAGAAAATGTGCAGATAAGGGAGGGGGCATGTAAAGATACCCACCTTGAGAGAGGGTGTGTGTCTGTAATGGGAGGAAAGGCAGGGGTGGGGGTTATAAACACCCAATTCTGAGGAGGGAGGAGAGCCAAGTCAGGGTGGAGGGTGATAGGGTAAATATAGGAGCCAACAACGATGGATATTGGGGTGTCAGGTCCATCAGGGGAGAAAGGGGGGGCTATGTGACCAATACACCCCGATTATACAAGACCAGGCTCAGAAAGACATGTATTTCTTATTAATGGATTAAATAGACCAGATTGCAAAATAATGTTCTCCTTAGCATCACAAGCATCTTTAGGATGGCATAGTTCATTTAAGCTCTGGAGTTTATAAGACTAGAATGATACAGAGATAATTGTAAGAAATACATAGTTACAGTCACCGTGTATTATTACCCAATGTTTAGCTATGTACTATGCACACTGATATCACATATTATCAAATACAGATAAAATAGAGATGCAATGAATGTACACTGTCAGACACACACTAACCAGCTATATCTACATTGCATACTATCACATCAAGGTAGTGTAAGGTTATACATGGTCAGGCACATTAACCTGGTATATAATATACACACTGTCACATGCATAAAGTACACAATCAGAGATAATGGCCATAGACACATACAGAAAGTACACTGTCATGTACAATGTACACTGACAGATACACAATTAAACCAGGTATTTATAATGTATGGTGACAAATGCCCACATATCCCATATACAATGCAATGCAAAATAATTTGTAATACATAAAATAATATTATATATAATAATAATAACATATTATATCCAATGTATTCACAATTATATACAATGCACAATGCACTATTTACACAATGTACACAACAATGTACTGATTTTAGTTATTTATTTATAATGTACAATGATAGGTTATATTTATTATGCACTTAATACAATACACATTATAAGATATACTATATAAGTGATGCATTTAGAGAGAGGCAGGTTTTACACAATTATATATATATATATATATATATATATATTGCACACTCATATACAAACTTTACATAGTTACACATAGATAATAAATGTATTGCAGAGTTACACAGTGTTCTCAGTGAGATCAAAGCTGTAAAAATGATTATAATATTTATTATCAGCTATAAACACTACTCACGTTTATACAATGCACTGCACACTGTCAGCTACACACTGTTATATTTAATGTACATTGTCAGATTCGATAGATAAATATGGAGACACATATAGATAAACAGACACAGATAGATATAGACAGATAGACAGAGATAGATAATCATATATAGATAAATAGATAGATAGGCATAGATAGATAGATAGATATATAGACATAGATATATAAATAGATAGGTGGACAGACATAGATAGATAGACAAAGATATATGGATACATAGAAAGATAGAGAGATGGATGGATAGACAGATAGATGGATTGATATATAGATTGATAGACAGATAGATACATAGATACTGATAGATAGTTATATAGATAGATAGATAGGTAGATAGGTAAATACATACATAGATACAGATAGATAGTTAAATAGATACATAGACAGATAGATAGATAGATAGATAGACACATATAGATAGATGGATACATATAATTAGATAGATAGATAGATAGATAGATAGATAGGCATAGATATATAAATAGATAGATGGATAGACATAGTTAGATACAGATAGTTAAATATATACATAGATAGATAGACAAAGATATATAGATACATAGAAAGATAGAGAGATGGATGGATAGAAAGATAGATGGATAGATATATAGATAGATACATAGATACAGATAGATAGTTATATAGATAGATAGATAGATAGATAGATAGATAGATAGGTAAATACATACATAGATACAGATAGATAGTTAAATAGATACACAGACATAGATAGATAGATAGATAGATAGATAGACACATATAGATAGACAGATACATATAGTTAGATAGATAGATAGATAGATAGATAGACAAAGATTGATAGATAAATAGAGCGAGAGAGATGGATGGATGGATAGATAGATACAGATAGGTAGTTATATAGATAGACAGATAGATAGATAGATAGATAGACAGACAGATAGATAGATAGATAGATAGATAGACAGATAGATAGATAGATAGATCTTTTAAAAAATATGTATTAGATTTAACATTTTTACTTTTCTTTATAAATTACATTAAAAGGGACCCAGTGCTAGCTTAAGAAACAATTCATATTGGTCACAATTGGAGCTCCAATGTAGTATCTGCATGGAGACCAGGAGATTGTATCATTCCCTCACTAACCTGTAAATGAGACAATACACTCCATTCAGTGTAATCTATCCACACCCACACATGCTCATACACATATAGCTGGGTCCCTTGGCCTGTGACATTCTATTTATTAACCCATTCATTTAGATTACATGCAGTGTTGGAATGATTTCAACTTTTCTATAACCCCAATCAGTGGTGCATGTTGGCTATTTATAACTAAGAATATATGGTATATATGTAATACATTTTTGGATTTCTTCCCCCTGTGCTGTGCCCATGCTGTAATTAAACCAGTTGATGAATCAGGTACTGTTTTTCCAGCTGTCAAGGAGGGTCTGGCTCATAAACTCCCAGTTCTCTATGTGTGATCACCACAAAGACTGTCTATCTCTGCTGTTCTCTATCAGAGAAATGTGTGATAGGTATGAAAAAAAAAAGGATTTGGAGGGTTGCCAAAAATCTGCTACAATAAAATCACCCCCACCCCTCACCCACATTGCACACCTCCCCCTCCCAACCACATTCACGTATATCACACACACACACACACACACACACACATACATACTCATACATACAAACATACACATCCACCAGCAGACACTTTGTTTCCAAAATAAATATAACTCCTTGACCACAGAGCTTACAATCAAATAAAAAAACACACATTTATTTTGCATAGTAGGATTATTTATTGATTTGTAAGATCACGAGATGCATAACTTAGCAGGAAGGCATAGGGGTACTAGGTAAGTGTGTAAATTGGCCAATTTGTGTATGAGTGACCATTTTAACTAATTATGTGCCTTGGTGGTTTTTATATCAATGAAAACGTCAAATTGTCTAAATATACACAAATGGATTGTTTGTTGTTGATAGATATAACTGGACTTTTCTGTAAAATTTGCTTGTTTAAATGCTAAGCAGTTTAATGTTATGTTTTATATACACACACACACACACACACACACAAACACACACACGCACACACATGTTCTGGAATTTCAGAAACAGACGACCATCTCTCAGAACATTCTCTACAGTTTTGCAATGAATGATACAGTAAATTAAAACAACACACAGTGAGAGTCAGTTTCGTCAGAAACCATTTTTTTTAATGAGGCAGGTCAGAGGTGAATGGCCAACATTGTTCAAGCTGACACATAGGCCAGAAATATTCACGTAACTACTTTTCACAGCAGTGATGCCACCAAGGGCATCTCTGAACACACTATGCATTGATGGATGGGCTACAGTAGGAGAGGACCATGCGGGGGGACAATCCTGGAACCTGAAGAGGTAGGACGGGCCATACATGATCATGATTAGCAAAACTAGATGATTGAAGGCATGGGCAATATCATATTCTTACTCAACTTGAATTTCTATAAACAGGTAGTTGGGTCAGGATTTTGATGTAAACTGCACGGTCCTTGAACCTATCTTGTCTTGTGTCAATATAATGCAGCATAACATCAGTGTGTAGTGTTTAAATTTAAAATCTTTTGTCTAGGAAAAGTTATTTTTAGCTTTCAAACACTATCTACCCAGTGAAATGCCACTTTCCTAACTAGTATTCAAGCAAATAGTTTTGCACGTTTCTTACTGTTTTTTAAATTTTCAGATTATAGAGCCGTTTGCTTAACATACAGGGGCCCAGGCGACCTGGGAAAGGGGCCACTTAATCCCAGAAAGTGACCCCCTGTTCAGCAATAAACACCCAGGCATTCTCAGAACGTTGCTCCTTGCCAAAAGCCACCTAGGAGACCCTCAAGGAAATTTTCCCCTCCCCTGCTTGCAAATAAGCAACCAGGGACCCCAGGAAATGGCCCCTGCTAGCCAATAAATGCCCCAGGTGCTCTATGAAAGCATCCATACTTGCTAATTGATGGTAAAGTGGCCCCTGCTTGCCAATAAATGCACAGGCTCTATAGGAAAATATTCCCTGCTCACCAATACACACCCAGGTAAAGTGGCCCTTGGTCAAAAATAGCTACCTAGCATCCTTGAAGGAAAGTGGCCCCTGTTCATCAGGAGGCCCCCAGGCAACCCCTGGGAAAGTGGCCCCTGCTCAGCAGATGGCTTTGCCTAAATACTAGTCAGGCAAACGTCTTTTGGCAAACACACACACACACACACACAAAATAGGTGGAGCAAACACAATTTTGGTGAAGGATGCAATAGGACTATTGGGGATAGTCCTTCTTCAGTAAGATGGTAAATGGCATATGCAGACACTGCAGAAACAGAGAAAGCCTCATGGGATAATCCTGTTTAGGTATAATGCCCATACAACTATAAATGGAAGCACTCACATTCCTCTGAGCCTAATGTAGATGGCTCAACACTCTATATGGCATAGATTATCTCCAAAAAGATTCCACTCAGTTTGGTATAAATTAGGAATTTATAACAATAAAGTAAAAACAATGCTATCAAAAAGAAATAAAGACAAAATAAGTCCAAAACGCGTTTCACCTGGACTGGCTTCATCAGATAGAATTATTCCTGTTTCTTTCTCCAATTATTGCAATTAGGCTTCCTAGCGTCTTTCGGCCTGTCCTTCTTTTGTGTTTGTAACACACGGGGCGTTTCACCATACTGGTATTACACTGACGGGATTCTGGGCTTAGGTGCATCACTTCCTTTGTGCCAACTTTGTAACGCACCATGCTTTTGGTGTTTTAGAGGTCAAATAACTAAGCATTTTTTTTTAAAGTAGAAAACGATTGCATGTGTATTGGTGGCATAGTCTGTAAACAGTATATGACTGCATTAACGATGAATACAGACACATGGGAGTATGTGTGTTTTCCTAAAGAGGTGGGTTTTTAAGTCTCTTAAATGTTTGAACTATTAGGGAATGCATAATCGACTGGGGTTATTATGGAAAATGTATATACTTATATATAGTAGAAATTAAAAATACAATCTATATTAAATCTATATTATATTTATAAACACTGATCAGCCACAACACAGCTTCGGAAATAAAAGGCCGGCATGACAATACATCTCCATCATGTGTCCTTAAGGAGTTAAAACCACTAACAGGTGATGTGAATAACATTGATTATATTGTTACACTGGCACCCGTCAATGGGTGGGATATATTAAGCAGCATGTGAACAGTCAGTTCTTGAATTTCGTGTGTTGGAAGCAGCAAATATGGGCAAGCGAAAAGATCTTAGTGACTTTGACTAGGGCCTAATAGTGATGGCTAGACAACTGGGTCAGAGCATCTCCATAACGACAAGTCTTGTAGGGTGTTCCCAGTATGCAGTGGTTAGTACCTACCAAAAGTGGTGGAAGGAAGGACAACCGGTGAACCAGCATCACGGTCATGGGCACCCAAGACTCATTTAAACACATGGGGAGAGAAGGCTAGTCCATATGGTCGGATCACACAGCAGACCTACTGTAGCTCAAATTGCTGACAAATGTAATGATGGCCATGATAGAAAAGTGTCAAAACACAAAGTACATTGTAGTTTGCTGCATATGGGCTGCGTAACTGTCCACCACCGAAAGCGCCTTCAATGGGGATGTGAGCATCAGACTGGATCATGGAGTAATGGAATCAGATTGCCTGGTCTGATCAGACACTTTTTCTTTTAGATCAGATGGATGACCAGGTGCGTGTACAGTTGCAGATTGCTGCAGGAAGAAGGCAATGTTCTATACAATGTTTTGCTTGGAAACATTGGCATTCATGTGGATCTTACTTTGACACTTACCATCTACCTAGAGATTGTTTCAGACCTCGTACACCCGTTTACAGCAATGGTGTTCCCTGTAGGCAGTGGCCTCTTTCAGCAGGATAATGCACCCTGCTGCACTGGAAAAACTGTTCAGGATGGTTTGAGGAACATGAGAAAGAGATCAAGGTGTTCCCTTGGCCTCCAAATTCCCCATATCACAAACCAATTGAGCATCTGTGGGATGTGCTGGAAAAACTAATCAGATCCATGGAATCCCCACCTCTCAACTTACAGGACTTAAAGGATCTACTACTAATGTCTTGGTGCCAGATACCACAAGACATGCTTAGATGTCTAATGGAGTCCATGCGTCGACACATAAGAGTTATTTTGGCAGCACGTGGGGGACCTACACGATATTAGGCAGGTGGTTTTAATATTGTATCTAATCAGTGTATATATTATATGGGAAAATGAACCAGCATTGCAGTGGTCTCATGTAGCATGACAAGCTCACATTTTTGTGGAATGCTTTAATTTGAATGAAATCTACTAAGTACCATCAGGTCCTCAAAAACTCTGCACCTTTTCATACTGAAATGGGGCATCTGAAATTACACATTCCAGCTAGCTTTAATGCCTGGGAATTAAAAGGAATACAAAAAGGGCCTAACTTGGGGAACTTGAAGTAATGATAAGTCCCATGTCCTTCTCACCCAGGTGCCACCATGCAGTGGATATGTCACCAGTGATAGGACTTGCAAAATGCAAAGTACCCCTTAAGTGACAACATAAGAAAACCTTAGGCAGATGTCTAGAATCTAAGGGTTAGGCAGATTCACCATCTGTATACTAAGATTATAGAGGGGACCCCCCGAACTGGTAACCAGCCTTGGATTCTATTAGACCTAATCCTGCTTCATAGACAGTGTCACATTAGTTGCCCTGGAGCTTTCTTTAATTTTTTTTTCTATACATGGTTCTGTCGACAATTCTGTATACAGTGTTTCTATATGTACTGACAGGTGACACACTCTAAGCACCAAAAGCCTAGGTCCTTGAGCCTTGGACTAGTATTTATATCTGTATCTGGAAATGTTTTCCCTACTATTCTCTTCAATGTCGAAATGGTGGATTTAAACAAGTGCTTTTCAAGTAGTATGATAATTGGTCTCCAAGGATTTAATGATTGTAAAAGTTGCTTTACCTAAAATAACTTTAGGTTAATAGATGTCCAACTGATTAAAAAGAAAATCACATATGAGAGGTTAAATGCCTTAATTTCATATGAACCCCGTTGATTTAATCTTGATCGCTTCGTAAGTACATATGCACAAGATTCTACTGTGTCTGCAATAAAAAATCTATTTGTGTAAATTTTGGCACAGCTACTTGGCAAGCCAACATCAGGTCAGCGCTTTCTATTGGCTGAGGTAACATCATTTTGGACCCAGCTGCCAATAGTGAATGTAACTTTCATTTGCCGAATCAGCATATACAGGATTGGGGCCGCGAATACACAGCTAAGTATTCTTATTTCAAAGCTTCTGCTAGCAGTGTCATTAGACTTGGTTCCCTCAGCTGGAAACCCATAAATAATACAGACTGTCAGGATGAAGAGGTAAACCCACCACACAAAACCTGAACCTATGCTACCTTAACAGTATTAAAAGGGATTGCGGCGTATTACTAGTTGTTAGATTGGCCGGGCTTTAACACAGTGCTTATAGTAGGTGAAAATAGCAAAGTCAGTAAATGAGCCAAGGTCAGGGAAAACAAGAACATAATTCCAGGCCAAGTCTAGGAGTCCAGAGATTAGGATAGTCAAACAAGTCGAGTCGCTTTAACAGAGAATACACTGAATAAAGAACGCAGTATTTGGATCACAAATGAGATCCCAGCTAAACTCCAGGAAGGCTCATATAGGTTTGGTGTGTACATCAAAAACGGAATGATGCCGAACTGGTTGCGTGTGAACATTGACACTGGAAAATCTTACTAGAAAAGGACACAGGGGAGCATTGTTCTGCATCAAAAATGATGCTCGAATTATGCAGGTTTGGACTTTGATTGTGCTTGGCATCAAAACTGATGCAAGGAAGAACAGAGAACCACAGGTAACCTCTACAAATAGATGTAACCTCTACAAATAGATTTGGTGATTATGAAGCCATGCCAGGAAGAAGGTGAGTAGCGATAATGTGGGGGCACCCAGGTGGTGCAATATGAATTCCTTGCTTGTTCCTGATCATTATGGAGGCATGATATAATAGTGTAGTTGGGTTATGCAGGGATGCATTGGAAACAGAACTCTACTGAAGTACTTACATATGGACTGACATGCTCTGGACTTATCTAGTGTATCTGCATGTGACACAACCTGGCAGAAAAACTGGAATGGTAGGACGAGGTCCTATACCCAGGTAGTGGCCTACACCCATCTTTAACTTATTTAAATTAATTCTTACCTGGTTTGGTTCTGACCCATTTAAAATAAATCAGCAGTGGTAAAATCTATGACAGTAGATTATTGATACCTGAATATTCTTGTCCGTATTATCATAGACTTACATTCAAGTCAGTTTTTTTGCTGTTGATCTAAAAGAAGGCAAATCCAGTTTTAAACACTTCTAATTTCTGCAACAAACTAGGAAAATAATTCCTTCTTGAACCCAGAATGACAGTCAGATTCCTCCAATCCTCCAGTTCCTGAAAGAAAAGAATCTTGAAAGATTAAAAACAGAGGTTGACTTATTTCCACAGTTAGTTCCTTAAGTACTCGTGGGTGAATACCATCAGGCCAAGTTTATATTAACTTTCTTTAGTTGCTGCAGCACCATGTCTGGAGTCATCCAATTACAAGTTTTTTGTGGCAATTATTTGCATATCTATAGCCATTGATTCTTCCTTCATATATACTGAGTAGAAATAGTTTTTCAAATTTCAGCTTTTTCCTGGTTTTCATTAACTAATACCACTATCCCAGTTTTCGGTGTAACTAGACTTTCATTTTTTTTTATTTTTTATATTTTTGTACTTAAAAAATGCTTTGGGGTTGGTTTTGCTCTCTGGCTATCACATCGTCGTTTTGTAGTTCTGCAAATCTAATTGCCTTTTTGCATGCATCATTGTCTTTCTTATATCTTTTATAGGATGCCTCTGATTTGTCTGATTTAAATGCCCTTCTCTTATTTTTATTTCTTTTTTCACTTTCCCCCTAAACCACATTGGTTTCAATTTATTTTTCTTTTATATGTATTACCCAATGGTACATACAGAGAAATTTACCTTTCTAATATTTGTTCGAAGATATTCCATTTATCCTTAGTGTTTTTTCACTAAAGAGTTTATACCAGTCAATATATTGTAAATCTGCCTTTATCTTCTTGAAATTGGCATGTTTAAATTTATATATCTTAGTATACCCTATGTGCTTTTGTTTTTTTGAGTTTATTTCAAAGGACACTATATTGCGATTGCGACTTCTGCTATCTGGGCATTTATTATATGGTATACGTCATTATACGGTATATACTAGTGCTTCACGACTCCGTAGCAATCCTTCAAATGGATGAATAAAGATTACTAACTGAAGAACTCCAGGTATCCTTATGAGTAATTAATGAAGAAGAGAAACATTTACATAATGATAAATGATTGTATATCTCTACTTTTTTACAGTATTATTCTATGTATGCATTTTTCCTATTTTTTAAGCACTTCCTTATAATGTTTATGATATGTATAATGGTAAGAAAAACTAATTGTACAGCACCAAATGGAAGAGGGGCCGATTCGCAGGTGCCCAGTTAAGCATAAAACAATTCAAAAAGAGTTAGTTAATATTTCTAGATGGGACTCATCTTGATGGATCTTATTGCACCACTTTGATGTGTGGCTAGGAGCATTCTACGTAGAGCCACATCTGACTTCTTTGTGATTTACCATAGATTGGACTTGCTTGACGGTACACTGGAATAGGTCACTACTCAGCAGGAGCCAACTCAGCAAGATTTCAGTTTCAATATCCTGATGACAAATACCCTAAGAACCTAGGAGCACCCCAACCGTTAATTTGAGTCACAAATATGGGCTTTTATATTGTCAAGAAATGAGAGACAGAGCAGATAAAGTGATTTAGATGGCAAATCAAGAACAAGCACAACATTTAATACACATAAGGTCAAAGCTATATACAAGAGGCCGTTATGGACCAAACAAGTAAACGTTATGAAGACAGGGTTTCCCAGGCTAGGTGTCATGGTCTCTAAGTCTAAGAGAATAATCATAGCAGACATTGCCAAGCATGGTTGTGAGAAAACCCACTGGGAGTTCGGGGTTTTCACTGAGCATTCATCTGTTTAGTTTATTCGGCTAGTTTATGCCACATTGGTTTGGTAGATTGAAACTACCGAACACAGACCACCCTCCTGGCTCATTGACTTCAAAGGAGCCTGTCAATTAAGCGCTTTCTCAGGGTGGACGCCATTCGTATATACGAATGCCACGTGGCGGAGAAAACTGCGGCCATCTTGTTTGTTCAGGACAAAGGCAGCGGGACTTGGTCATTGAGTGTCTGGAACTAAAATTGGACACTCTACTTCCCAAACACCGGTCTTAAACATACGAACGATGGAACTGTATTTTACGAACAGCTAGGAGAGCGCTTTTCGGTACTTTGATGTATTCGTGTGAGGGGATCAATCGCTCCTATGAGCCAGGAGGCTCCGTTCATGGATTATGGAGTTATTTAACATTTTCAGAATTGACCGACCGTACACGCTGAATTCGTGGAACTATTTTGGGCAAGAGATTCGTTTGCGGTCGGTAGCTTAAGACTTCCACACTTTTTGAAAACCCCTGAACCGATCTGGGTGAAATTTGAATATGTTGTTCCCTCAGATCGGGGCTATCAGGGGATGTGACATTTGTGGGGATACCTTAAGCATAAAGGGGTGTTCTGAGTTTTGGGAAAAATCTGTGCACTTCGCCTGGAGATAATTGGGTTATTCCTTAACTTATCTCATTATCTCACAAGCGGAGACAGGGAGTGTTTAAGTGTAACTGTACCTTATGATTGGCTATTTAGTTTGTGCACTGTGGGAGGTCCTCCTGCAAGGGGACCTCCATAAAAACCTGTGTGGTCTCAATAAACATCAGTCTTGTTTCACCCTTTATCATGTTTCAGCTGGTATTTGGGTACCTGATTACTACTTGGGGAAAGCTGTACTAGAGGATTTAGTTTCTTTGGACTTTAACTACCGACCAGAAGAACCGAACGGCGAGCTATAATCACCCAGGCTCTCAGCCATTCGGCTCAAATCATACAAACCCATAGCTACCACTTCAGGGTTCGTTACAATGGTAATATTCAAACCATGTGGAAGAGCTACTATTCATTCTAGAACAGTGGTTCCCAAACAGTCCTCAAGTACCCTCTACCAGTCCAGGATTTATGGATTACCCTGTTGTGTCTAAAGTGTTTTTTTTTTCTTCTAAAAACACATTAGACACAACTGGGTATTCACTAAATCCTGGACTGTTAGGGGGTACTTGAGGACTGGGTTGGGAACCACTGCTCTAGAAAAATGTGAACCAAGAAATCAACTTATTCTTTAATAGGGGTATAATAACAGTATTGATTAACCTTTGTTTTATGGTTTGATGGGAAGTATCCCCTGAAACTGCAAAGTTTCTGCACTGCACTGCATGCTATCATTCATAGTTACAAATATACAATAAAATGTCAAATGTCTATAGCATACAATACGAAGAGAACACAATGGTAAGATAGCATCACAATGGTTTAAATATAGAGAGTTGTCACCCTTTCCGTTAAATAGAGGCTAATACCAGAAACCATAAAATGTTTCAAATTCCAATATCTTACACTTACCAACGTAGTTTTTTGTCAGATCACCTCCATGGTAACGTTACTCTTCATTGCTCTCTGGATTCAGACAAATGATCACCACACTTGGATGATAAAGATTGTAGAGGTGACACTTTCTATCTGTTCTGTCACGTCACCATTCCTACTGGCCCAGATGAGCGGCATTTTCATGATATCATCAGAGGAAAGCTAACCAGCCAGGTGTGATGGCAAATGACTGGAACATTTGGAATCTGTCACTCCGATGACATCAAAGGGCAGGAATGACAGTTGTAAAATGAATAATTTGTTACAAAAATGATTTTCCAGAAATGGTTTACTACAATTTTTATTATTATAATGTAAAATCCTTGTGAAAAAACTGAACTGAAAGAAATATATAGAACTGTTTACTATAAAAAAAAGTCTTTCTAAAAACAAAGTGTGGGTGTCCAGTCCAGTCCACCTGTGGCCCTACAGTCACTGGTTGGACAACTATTCCCATGATGTCAAGCAAGTATACAAAGAAAATGTAGTCCATGATTATTTTATATGACAATGGTAACACATCACAATTTTAAGTATTTCCAGGTCAGAATTAAAATTAAATGAACATTCCAAGCACCATAACCACTGCTGGCTGTAGTGGTTATGGTACCAGAAGTACCCTGGCACTATGTCAATGTAATGTTTTTCATTCATAAAACAAAGCAAGCAGGGATGGTGCAAGGATTTTTGGTGACACAAATCCCCAAAACGTATCTTTGCCCATGTATCCGTGTGTCTCGTAACTCCCTTTTCCCCCTTTTACCCATCTTTTTCCCCTTTTGTGCCTTGTTTCCCCCCTTTTGTCACTTTTATTCCTGCATTTGCATCTTTTATCCCCTATTTGTTGTCTTACAGTCTCATTTGTCTCTCACCTCCATTTTGAATGTCCTACTCTCCTTTACTGTATTTTACATCAATTTTGTGCATTTTACACCTTTTTGTGTTTCATATCCTCCTGTTTGCCTCTCTTGTGTCCACTATGCCCATTTCGTGTTTCTTACTCTCCTCCTGTATCTCATAGCTCCATCTTGTACCTCTTACCCTCTTCAGTGTCTCTTCCTCTGCCTTCCATGTCTCTTATTCCCCTTCTTTTGTCTCTCACTCCCAACATTTGTGTCTCCCCCCCCCTTGTGTGTCTCTTTCTCTTTTCTCCTTCACCCCTTTGGGGGACTTACCCTCTATTGTAGGACGGCCTCGTGCCCTGACGACTGTGCCTCATTTCCCCACCTCCTTCAGGCACTGGTGTTAGCCCCCTTTTAGATTGATGTGACCCATAAAAATGATGCTCTACCTGTGCCCAACTAGGGCACCACTGGTGAGGGAGTTTCCTTGAATACTGCACTCCCTTGCCGTTGCGCCCTATGGCGGTTACCTGTGCCACCTTCTGCAGCATCGACCCTGAAAGGATAATTTACTAGGGAAAATCTCTCCGTATTACCTCAATTATCACAATTTTTTCTATCCCTTATTTCTCTATATTTAACTGCATTTGCACCTCTTTCCTTATTTTTTATTTTCTATGGACCATACTATATTATGTTTAAAGCTTTTTTTTTTCTTCCAAAAAGAACATCAAGTAAAATTAATATGAAAGTTTTAATAAAGCTATTTCCAAATAAATAATGGAGCCACCTGTCCATCTCCCTCATTCATTGTCTCCACTCAACTCTCGTTCCGCTGAAACCATGTTGTGTCTCTGCGGACTCTGAAGAAATTTGTGTTGTTATGTATCTACGCTTATAGGAAATATCCATGTAATGACCCTATTACTTGACAAAGCTGATTACATTGTGTCAATAATTCTTCATCAAAGTCTGTGAATTCTATAACAGAATGCATGTGTCCCCATCATTCCCTGGGCCTGTGCCCTTAGTTGTCACCCCATGTCTGTCATGGACAGTAATCGGGGCACTTGTGCCACATGGGCTTTACCTTGCTACACTCAGACACAATTTTCTGCCAGCCAAATCCCCAGGTACCCATGTCTGAGTTGTGCCCACCCCCTGCCCTTCTGGCAGACAGCTCTCTTCGCTACATCTCAATTCAGTCTGGCAGTGGAATTGAAGGTGTTAAAGGAAAGGGGCATTTGTAGCTTTCCTGTATCTTCCATTTGCCTCTCACGGCAGAATCCTTTAAAAAAGAAAATTTATAAACAGCAAAATTTATATTAAAGACATAGAGAATACACGTACACAGTATATTCCATAGAAAAGATACCCACAAATATGATATATTATTTGCTGTCATGTCGTCTTGAATGAAACACTACATTTCTAATGTTTTAAACTAATTGGGACAAAATTGATTATTTATGGCAAATCAAAGGCAACGTTTTAGAACTTAACAAAATTTATTATTCTATAAATTGCACAAGACCACCCCAAACTGACCCAGTAATTAGACAGAATGGGACAAAATTGGCCACGTATGACCTTCACATAGCTCACGAGAGGGCTATGTGAAGGCTGACTAGACTTTTTAAAGAATTATGCCACTATCAGTTCCTGAATTAGTCCCTAGTTGGTGCATTTTTTTAATACTAACCCTATTGTTCCTTGTGTGAGGGAAATGTGAGTGCCATCAAGGCAGTTCCCATGGTTTTTAGGGAGTCCGAGAGACCCCTAAAATGTGGCAAGTGACTTCATTTACCTCTCCCCATTGATTTCAACTGCAAAAAAAGTGCCACAGTCTTTCTATGTCTTTTGAAGTTCAGAGTCAGCTCCCTGGTTGCTAACCATCATTCATATACTCTGAATGGAATTCTGTAACTTTTAATGCTCATTTTTCACAAAAGAAAAGGTGATACAAAATATCTAAAATGTAATATGAATCAGACAAAGATGACATTGAGTTAAGTGCAGGGGCGTATCTGGAACATTTGGTACCTGGGGCGGATCTTATAAACTTCTAAAGTAAACACACTATTGTGTCACCTCTGATTGAAAAAAAAAAAGCCATTGTTTCAGGCTGGTTGTATGAGTGACAACCAGGGAAGTTGTGGCTGCATAAACAGAAACAAAAGTGATTTAACTTATAAATGACAGAGAATTGTGCAGAGAGAGACTCTCTCTAGGGGCATGATTTATAGTCCAAACCTGCTTCATTAAGCAAAAGTTGTTTTGGTGGTTAGATTATCCCTTTAGAACAGGTAACCAGGAATTTTTGTTATAGACTGGCTGACTGAGAGCTCGGAGGCCCATGGCTTAGAGATTGTAACAAACTTGTAATAAACTATTGCCAAAAGACTATCATCACTCTCACTCTTTTCCCGTAACATCTTCCTCCACGAACTACCAAACCAGCAAACCCTTTTTTCCACCCCACCTCAGCCTGTTGAGCCAGTAGAGTCTTACTCTACCATCTCCTTCTGAAACTACAGCTCGGCTATGGACAAGTACCTCACACCAGTCTCTTTGCACCGTTGTTTTTACCCCTTTCCCAGAGAGCTAGCAAAGTGGAGGTTATGTTACCCCCCTCATCCTGAACAATCGCTCCCTGCTAGAGTCCCTGGTAAAAGACCGCGATCTAGCGTTGACCGGCTGGAGCTATTTTTGTGAAGTACTTTAAAAGCAGTCGGTCTAAAAGTTAACCGAGTGGCGTTTGGATAATTCCCCACAGATCCGAGCGCTTTATTCACAGCATGGTCGCTCGCATCCCCTCTCTTATGACGGGGTACCATGTTGTTTCCAGATTGTGTTCGGGGTATTTGTGTGTAGCATCTTCTGTGTCTGGGAGATAATTAGTTTACCGCTTATAAACTCAATTATCTCCCAGACACAGAGACGCCTGGGCGGGATTGAATAAATAGAGACCCCATGCTGGGGGTCCTTGTATAAATACCTATACCATTTGCCTGAATAAACCAGTCTGATTTACCCTTTATCAAGTTTTGACTGATGCTTGGAGATACTAGAGCCAGTGGTGTATTCTGGTTTTGTGCTGCCCTAGGCATGACAAAACTCAGGCACCCCTCTCACCCCCTTCTAAATGTCACTTCCTGTTAAAAAACCAACATGCTCTTTGCCTAACAGACACACACCTTCACTGATGCATATACTGACATACACTCACTGACAGATACACAGTAATTGTCACACACACTGTTTAACCAACACACACATTCACTGATACATACACACTCACAAGCATTCACCAACAGACACACAGATCCACTGACAGACACACATACACACTCACTGACAGACGCACACTCACTCAGTGTCAGACATACACAACCTGTTACACACATATACCTACTGACAGACACACACTGACAAACACACATACACTCACGACAGACACATATACACTCAGTGTCAGACACACATTCACTAACAGACATACACATTGACTGACAGATACACACTCTCACTAACAGACACGCATACACATACTGACAGACACGCATACACACACTGACAGACATACACATTCACTGACAAACACACACACAATCTCATAGACAAACACTCTTTGACAGACACACATACACTCTCACTAACAGACACATACACTCTCACTAACAGGCACACTAACACACTCACAAACAGACACACACTCAATAACAGTAGAAAAAAGGTAGGGTCGCATTCAGCCCCAATATTGCAACACAGGGTGCTATTGAGCAAGGGTCAGCAAACCTCAAGAAATACGTATAAATTAAAAAGTCTGAGGCCTGAGATTTTTTCATTTACACACTCAACAGACACACACTGAACAGACACACACACTATCACTAACACTAACAGACACACTAACACACTAATACATTCACCAACAGACACACACACTAAAACTTTTTACATTTTTCATTTTAATCCACCAGCCTCCATACCTTTGCTGGAGTGCTGGAGTGCATTCTCTATTTCCCTGGGATCCAGTGGGGCAGCTGGGCGTGCAGTCAGTCCAGGCGGTGAGGGAGCTGTGATCTTCCTGCTCAGCTCCCTTGCGTGCCTCTCATGGATGCCGGGGCCAGAGTGACGTTGTATTCCGGCTCTGGCATCACTGCGGTGCACGCAAGGGAGCTGAGCATGGAGAGCTCAGGGGAGAGTGCTCCCTCGCCGCCTGCCTCCTGCATCAGCTGACCAGCTCTTGGTCCCCCCAGGACAAGAGGCTGGCAAGGCAATTGCCAAGGCGTTTGGGGGAAGCTTTTTTTGTCACTCCCCTGAAAGTGCCGCCCAAGGCAAATGCCTTGCCAGGCTCATGCTAAAGACAGCGCTGACTAGAGCTATATCACACTTTCACTCTGGGAGACTCGGATATACTCAGCTGGCATATAGGGTATCCATTACAGAGATGCACCGATTTTTACAAATTGCTGCAGTTCTTAGCCACACTCAGAGCCTGCTCATGGTGCTCTATATATCATAAACTTTCCAATTCTCTTTGTGTCCTCAGCATTATCTTTACCTACTTATTCTACCTGCACAGCCAGTTTCTGATATCATTCTCCACTTCTATGTCACTTTGCTTATTTTTAAATTATCCGTCAACGTGCATGAAACCTGTGTTTAGAGCTGCAAGTGTTAACTAATTTACATACTTTTCTGTACTTTTAAAAGAAACTAGAAATCTTAAAATAAATAAATAGCATAACCAATAAATACATTTTAGTTGCCTAGTAAGTGGTAATCAAGTTAAGGAAGTAACAGTTTCTCTTTAATTACACATTTGTTAACATCCTATTATCACCTTCTCTGATGCATTTCACTAATGAATATATTAAAAAGAACTGGCTCCACTACAAATTCATGGGAAGTGCCGATATATCTTCTAAATCAGGGATAGGCAACCTTTGGCACTCCAGATTTTGTGCACTATATCACCCCTGATGCTTTGCCAGCATTATGGCTGTACGAGCATTAGAGGAGCACTGTCACAGGGAGCCCACCTATGGCACCCCCGAATTGGCGTTTGTACAGTGCTTGTACAGTACGGTACCTGCTTACCTGGAAGGCAGGTGCCTACTCTGCCGATATATACCAAAGGGGAGGACAGGAAGCAGGCAGCATTTGGCGGTGGTGAGGGAGCACTAATCTGACAGTTCCTCTCTCCTCCCTCGCGCGCCCTCTGTGATGCCAGGAGCCAAATATAATGTTATTCCGGCCCCGACATACTAAACAGCGCGTGGGAGTAGACAAGAACTATCACAGCACAGCTCCATGGAGAGGACCCAGACTGGCTGGATGGGCCTCAAAAAAGTTTGTGAGAGTGTGCAAGAATGTGTCTGTCAGGTGTGTCAGTGTGTGTGTGTCTGTCATTGTGTGTGCCTGTCAGTTTGTGTGTGTCTGTGTCTGTGTCTCTGTCAGTGTGTGTGTGACTATCAGCATATGTCTGTCTGTCAGTGTGTGTCTGTCAGTTTGTGTGTGTGTGTGTGTGTGTGTCTGCCAGCAT